ATCCTCATCATTCTGGGACAAAAGGGGATGGCAATGTAAATCCTTAAAGATTACATGGCCCCTTGTGAACGGTTAAGTGGAGATTATTTAAAAGACTTAATTACACAGAAACCTGACACACTCCTTTTTAATGGCCAGGCAGACTGTTGTTTATTTAGTTTTTGAAATCTAGTCTAAATTGGGCCTTGAGAAAGAGAAATGTACCCTAGGTTTCAATTAACAGATTGTCTTCCACTAGTCAGGGGATAATTTGAGCCTTACAGAAACACATGTAAGAAGTAAAAATAAAGCATAAGTACTTCCTCATACTGTATATTGTCTTGCATCAGCCTCGTTATTCTGCGGTTTATCACTGGTATTAAAAATCTACACGTATAAACTAGTTTAGAGGATATTAACAAAGCATTACTCTCTCTTACTATTTATAAGTCATTAAATCATTCAATAAAGTCCAGTTTATAAACAATGGTTTAGAAAAAACATCATACAATTAGGAGTAGATAAGACAGAGGCTTTCAGAATGCAACTGTGCAGCAAAAGGAGTGTGTCAGTTGATAGCAACAAAATATTTTTATAAGAGAGAGTGATACTAGTTAGTAATATCTGTACCAAATTGGGAAATGTTTTGACTGCAACTATGCAAATTAGTGACTGGGACTATCTGTGTAGACATACTGGGATATATTTATGACACACATGTTGTGTGGAATGTATATTGAGTAAAAAAAAATAGGTTTTTTTAATAGAAAAAGCAAATTCTTAATAGCAGAGAAAAATATTTCAAACCTTTTGTTTCATAGTTTTCATTCACAATGACATAAAAAATTTATTCCTGTAGAATGATGTACTGCACTATATTAGAAAAAAAACCCCAAAGTAATACTCTTCACAAAGAATAACTGTGCTACTGATGAGAATGAAGAGAAGGAAAAATTGAGTTAGAAGCTAAGCATACAATAGTGGTTTGCTGTTCAAATTGACTAATGCTTAGGTCCAAAGAAATGAAAAATATTATTTTCTCTTTAATGATTAGGATGAAAGAAGATCTGCACACTGCTCTCAGCAGCTGGAAGTAGCAAGAAGGAATTAGTACATTTAAGCAAGTAAAACTCAAGTTGCTACCTGGTATGAATTTCTGAGTTTGAAGTACACTTCTGTGTCAGCAGAGGGCAGGATGATTATCTACCAAAGATTCATGAAAACAAACTGACAAAATTGGTATGTTCTTCATGCATATTCTTTTAGCTTTTACAATGTACATATTCCCAACACTGGAAGCCAAAGGAACACAGGTGTTCACTTGCAAGAAAAAAATATCCATAAAAATTACTAATTTTCTTTTCCAGGCTAGTTTTTATTCTAATTGTACCAAACTGCACGTGCTACTTTGGCTTGTGTGTACCTATGGACTTTAGAAAAAGAGCAGGGAAAATTGATTTCTGCTTGAAAAAACAGCACTAATTGAAATCTTATAGAAAAACCAATACTTAATAGCTGTATAAATCCTAATGATTCCAAGAAAAAATTAGCAAGACAAGCTGTCACACAGTCATTGCACTGCAGACTTTCTATTGCGAATTCTAGATTTCTGCTCTTCTGCTAAATCTGGTTGAAATTTCCCAAAGTGATTTAAAGCTTGATGGGAAAAGACAGAGGTTGTTATAATTTTAGCCCTGTTGCCTCAAGAATGAAGGCCAAAATTCCTGTATTTAAAACTAGTTTGGTTGCCCTAAAAATCTTGACAGGATACGTCAACAATTTTTTTATGTATTTTTGTTATAATTTAGGAAAACAGGGGCTTTTAAAAGACGCTTCATTTGTGATGCATGCTCAACTTCTTATTTTTTTTTCAGTTTTACATTGCAATTCATTAAATACTTCACTCCTTCAGTTCTCTGTGCTATCTTCCATCCATGTAAAATCCCCATTGTTCTTGTGAAATTACATTATTCTCTCTAAGAAGGAAAGCAAAGTGGTGGACCATATGGTATCTCCACTAAATTAGCAGAAGTTTCACTGATGCCAGTGGAAACCAGAATTCATTTACCCTACAGATTGCATCTGCATGTCATTGTTTTGGATTAAACCACAAATTAAACAGCAGTTAGATTTGATCGGTTAATTAAGCCTGGGGGAGTAAAAATATCATTAATTTAAAAATATAATTATTTGTTGCTCCTTCAATTATTTAGTGATAATAAAAAAAATAACCTTGATGATGTCCTCATGCTGGTTTTCACCACAGACCTCTGAGAAAGCTGCACTATTAAGCATGATTTGCACTGGTAAAACTGCAACCTGCCTTCATCATGGTGCTATGAAATGAATAAGCACTCAGCAGCTAATATCAGAGAAGCAAATTTAAAATAAGTTGCAATGCACAGAATTTCTTCAGTAGAATTGCCCACCCCATCATGCCACGACTGTAAGCACTTCTGCAGGAGCAGGTATACTGCTTCCCAGTTTGAGCTCAAGAGGAACCAAACTGCCTTTGACAGAGGGAGGAGAGAGAATCTTTAGGGTGAATTCAGAGTTCTTGTAAGGTCAGTCTCTCAGATCAGTAAAAAATCCTGGATCTACACAAAGTCCCCAGCCTGGCTCAGCAGACACGTGGGATTGACCAGGAGTCATGTGAATGACAAGAGCTGCAGAGGAAGGGCATGTCTACCTCCTCTGTGGAAGGACCAAACTCATCTATCTGCTAACCTTGTGCAGCTTGTCCTTGGCAGAAAGCCCACCAGTGGGCAGGACTCATTACTTGACACATCATTCCAGGCAGAGTTCAACCGAAAACATAAATATTTTTAACTTGTTGACTTGCCTCACCTATTCAAAGCACGCTGGAAATTCCCCAGCATGTTCTTGAGCATGAGAGGTTCCTGGGACAGCTGCTGTGGCTTCACCACTGCCAGCCTGCACCTTCCATGCCCCCAGAGGCTGGCACAGTGCCCTGCTCTGCAGGTGGCCAGCAGGGAGACACCTGCCATCCTCACCTCGCCCCAGGACAGGCTCAGGCCCCAGCCACCCCCCCCAGTCACATCCTGGTCCATTGCTGAAGGCTTTGTCAACAAAATCAAGGCATCGAACCTCCCAGCAATGCATTTGCAGCACTTGTGCCCAGCCACAGAAAAAACTGGGAACAGAAAATGCATGTGCAATTAAAAAAAATCATAAAAATAAACTGACTATAATATGGCGAAGATCTATTTTCATCTTTAAATCATTAATTCTTAAGGAATATGAGATTTCTGTAAAACCTACAATGAAATACTACTGAACTGAATGAATTCACAGCAGAAAGGTCTCAGACTACATCAGGGTTATGGTTATGGCCATAAATTGTGATTAAATGTTTATGAGTTAGTTGAAATATTGCAGGCAGGATCTTTTTTCTTTTTTCACTGTAGGGTGCACAGATACAGTGTAAAATCCTGTAGATATTTAGGGGATTGTGGGTTTAAAATATGATAATTTATTGTTAGATCAATTTATTACAGCAATAGTCAGGGGCCCCACTTGAGATGCGATTACCACCAAGAAAGGCTCTTCATAAAACAGAGTATGGGCAGAAAACTCAGGCCCCTGTTGAATGGTGATAAAACAGATGCAAAAGTTAAAGAATGAGAAAAGCAACATTAGCTCTGTAATAAAAGTAATGAACTGAAACATAGAGATGAGATGGCTTAACTAAAGCAGTGGTAAGCACCCACAGAGAGCAGAGGGGTACCAGCCCAAGTTTTCAACTGATGCAAGGGAAAGAACCTGGAAGTAGAAGTGGACTAGATTATGCTCCTGTTTTAATCAGAATACCACAATCAATAAACTTCAATTTTCATTCCACTCTAACCAAACATCCTATCACAGTGCCACAGACTGGAAGATGCTGCTTCAGAAAAAGCACTTTTTACAGCTGTGTAAAAACTGTCCTAGGAGTAAAATTTGCTAATTGTTCTGGGTACATGAAATGTAATGCAAAATTCAAATACAAGCTACTAAGACAAAAAAATTGCAGTAAGTTTCAGAATATTTTTCCAGCTTTTGTTGCACATGGCTATGCGCTCAGTAAACCAAAACATCCTATAGATATGGTTTTGATCTGATGAGGTCATGATTGATTCAACCAAGTAGTTAGCCTTCAAATCCCAGTTTTCTGAAATAAACTTTCACAGGGATATTCCTCTTTCCTGCAACTTTCAGTTATGCACATACCATATAACAGTTAAATTAAATGCACATTTAGTAAGTTTGGTCTGCAATTACTTACTCGTGCAGGAACAACTTGCACACTCTGGAAAGTTTATCTTGTTAATTATGAGTCCTCTACTAGATATTTATGCAAGTGAAATTACCACAACATGTAAAGATGTGTAACAGCTATTTACATTCCCCTATGCTCTGAACAGAGCATAATTCCTTTAGAAACCTTAGTGCATATTTATACATTTAAAGACCAATCTAATATATAAACATATACAAGGTTCTGGCAGCTCCTGAAAACTTGCATATCCTGAGTTTGCATGCATGAGTTCACAATGCAAACAACAGAATTTTAAAGCAGCAAAATGAAGTGTGGAAGAATGTGTTTACAGAAATAAAAGGAAAAATAAACCCTGGTTTATGCAGCCACGCTACTTTACCCCACTAAATACCACCCCAGCGGAAGGAAGAATGAGTTGTCAGCCCCCCTTCAGTGCACTGCCAAGCAGCAGCACTGGTGCTGAGCAGAAAACTGGCATGCAACTAAAAATTGTTCTTTCACAGGTTTAAGACGGTGCACCACAGCCATGACTTGCTGAATTTGAAAGCACCATCTTCAGGAAGCCTGTTATGGCTTTCTGTTCACAACCCAGAAATCAGGAGAGCTCGTGTCCCAAGTCAGACCTCTGATATAGTCAGGTATTGAGGGTACTAAGAGAAGTGGGCTGACCAGCTGTCTTTCCCTTTCCTCAATCACTTCTGCAGCTCTGTACTCCTAGATGCTTCCAGCATGGTCTTCCTATTGCTCTTCCTACTGCTAGAACAGTTTGAATTTCAGCTTCTGGAATGTTCACGTGCCATTACCATTTAATCAATCACCCACAGTTTTCCTCAGCATTAAAGCTGGCATAAAGCAAGTGGTAATTTTCGATACTTTAGAGTTTCAGTAATGCTAAAAGAAAAATTAGTATCTTTGTGTCTGGCACAGCTTTAAAGAAAGTTAGAAACAAGGGATGTGTAAGAGCTTTTCAAAGCAAAATGTACTATGGAATTGTATTCAATGGGAAGCGTGGGGCAACCCAACGATAGAGGTTGCAACCAGTTCAATCCAGAATTACACATCTACATATACATACATAAATAGACATAGGGAAATGTGTATCATGCTTACATTTTTTTCTACCTGTTCCAGAATTGAACAATCAATAAACAAATCATTGAAATATAAATAAACAATCATTGAAAAATAAATTATCAATAATTAGTTGAGTCTCAAGAGCAGAGTGCCTGTCAAATACTTGCAAGGACTGAAATTAATTTCAAATACTTTGGTGCTCTTTTTTAAACAGTGGGAAAAGAAATAATTCAGCAAATAGCATCTGGGTCCCATGAGCTCTTTGATAATACTATGCCTGTATTAAAAATGTTTTTTGAAATCCTTGAGTACATTTCCAGTATGTCAGAAATAAAGATGACTGTCAGACACTCTTATTAATCAGTTGGAAAAGCCAAAACCTCCCAGTGGGAGGCAGAAATGTTATACTGATGCGATTATGAGTCACTGCAGTTTTGGTTGAATCAAGGCCATTTATTTGAAGGTCTGTTGCCCAAAAATGCCTCCTAATTTGCAAAACTCTTCTTTTTTCTTTGTTCTTTTTTCCCTCCTCTTTTTAAAAACTAGATATCTTATATAAAAATTTGTTTCCATCGCTTTATGCTGAGGAATTTTCTGTTGGCCCTCATGTAGCATGATGCCTGTAACATCCAAAACTGAGGGCTCCAGGATGTCTGCCATAAGAAAATATAGTGGCTTGCTTTATTTTTAAAGATTAATACAGCTGGCAACCACGAGGACATGAATGACATGATTTACAAGTTTGTGGGCCAGACAAAAAAAGATCGAAAGATTATCTGCAAGCAAAGAATCAACATTTCAAACTGAGGAAATAGGAACAGAAAAGGCTCATCTGTTCACAGTCCAAATCTTTCCAGCAGTCCAAGGTAGCAGGGAAGAGACTGCGTTAAGTCCTCTGCGCCAGCTCCCTCTGCAGGGGTCTGGCTGCAATTCTGGCCAGCAGATTTCACCCTTGGAGTTTATAATTGCATGTAATTCCTGTGTCTGAGTGGGAAACAAATGCATAAGAGAGCTGATCACATCTAATGGCTGGAAAATAAGACAAATCTCGTATTTTGCGTTGTTTTTCTCTTTAACCCGATTATCTGAACTCAAGTGTCTGCACTTTGAGTGTCTAACTGGTAGCAGTTTGGAGCCTTGCCATGAAGAAGACCCTGTACATTAAGAAGCACGTGCACTCTAAAACAGGTCGGTGTTTTGACCATGGCATGAATAGTCTGTGAATGAATAAGATAAGCTACCTTCAACAGCGCCACTGAAAGTCAGTTGTTCCCCCTTTGCGCTTCACAGCACAAGCCTGGTGAGACACAGCTAACATGCTTAGATGCCTTCCTTGGGTATTGCATTCTTCTTCTAGACCTGCCTTTATATCATAAGAGACACTAGAAACAGCATCACAACAGAAGCTGAATGAAAGTTTTGTATTATGAGTCCTGAATATTGGCATTCCTTGGTCTTTTTCTCCTGGTTTCCAGGTTTTCATAAAAGACAACAGACTTCTTGGTTGTGAAGATCATATAAACTCCTCGAAATTGCCAGGAACAAGCAGATGGGGACAAAACCACATAACATGTCTACTGGTAAGCTACAGACCACAGTCTGGAGAATTCAAAAAGCATCAATTACTCCTGACTTTGAAAGACTCTTTGAAAGGCATTTCTGACTCCTTCCCACACCAGCCCTAAGGGAAGAAACAACCCTCTCATTCTGCTCTCAGCCCAGCATGGAAAGGGAAGGACTGCTTCAGCTGCACTATCCAGCACAGAAAAGGAAAGGAGAAAAAGCACAATTTAAACCAGGGTGGGATCAGGGAAGGATACTGCAGCCAAATCAAACACTTTCCAAATGCTGGAACAGAGCACAATCCTAAATACAAATGAACCCTGCTGGGTTTATGATCTGCACAATGAACTTTATCAAGGTATCAGTTCAATGCTACACCCTGTTTACAGATACAGCACTCAAGCCTTTCAGGGGCTATGATAATACTAGGTAAATACATGCCAGTAATCACTTCTTCCCAAGGATTAAGTTGTAGCAGTTTGGAGTTGAACATCAGAGACTCTTGTTCATGTTTCCTGGTTTCTCATTTTCTGTACCCAAATGAATATTTTCTGAACACAGCAACTGGAAAAAATGGTCTTTTTGCTCAAGCATTTAAACAGTCAGTCCTCTAGTGAATAATAATACCAAAGAAAAACAATACTAACCGGATGGACTGAACTCCAACCAACAGCTCCCCCTACCAGCCAATTCAAAGAGGATCATGAGAAGCAAAAAATGAAGTTTAGGATTCAAAAGCACTGTGAACTAAAAGGGAAGCTGCTCAGTGACAGAAGGACAATTTTAATACATGAACAGATTTTTTATGATTAAAAAGAACCCTACACCGTAGACTATGTCTCAATGGAGTGCATCTGACAAGTGACTGAAAAAATACTGGATTTATCCTTAACGTGAAGTTTAAATCTAGAAGATAAAGGTTTTCTATTTTGTTTTATAATATGAGAGCTACATTTTATTTCAGCTGTGTTGGAAGGCAAGTCATCAGCTTCTGCAGCAGGAAATGGCATGCATTTGGAGGAAGATGTTGACTGAGTTTTTGGTAAGTACTGCAGATACCCAGAAGCACTTGGGTTCAAAGGGACCTTGGGATACCTCCAGCCTAACCTTCTGCACTGCCAACTCAACACTGAATTTGGATTACATTGTTTAGGGCTTAGTCCCATCAGGCACTGAGAAACTCCAAGGGCAGAGGCTCCATAACCTCCCTGAGTAATCTGCTTGCTTAATTATCCTCATATATACTGTTTTTCCCTTTTATTTTAAATTTATGACAACTCTTTCTTGTTATCTTGCTGGACATCTCAATAAAAATTCTAGCTCCACCTTCACGGCAACATCTTCTTTAGATATATCAGAAGGCTGCTATTCCCACTTTTATTCCTACCTTTGTAAAATCCATTGAATTAAAAGTAAGTCTCAAGGGCAACTTACAAGGGTTTTTTTTGGACACACAACACACACATTGTTTGCATTCAGCTACACGCAGAGAGAGAACTCATTTATCATGAGGCCGTGTGATCCATCACGTAGACATCTCCAGACGTCTGAGTTGGCTTGTGCATGTTACACAGTACATAGATAAATCTACCTGTCTTGTGCACACATATCTATTCAGCATACCAATAGGGCATCTCGCATTCTGAAAGCATTTCATCTGTGATTTGTGCAGGGATTTTCAGTTCTAAAATGGTTTTCAACATCCTGAGCAGCTTCAAAGGGCCATTTGCATTCTTTCCTTTAAAAAACCTAACAAAACAACAAAAAGCCACAAACCAACAAAAAAACTTACCAAAGCCCAACAAAACACTCAAATGTTTAATCAAAATGTTTTCCTCTGCTTTCTACCAACTGTTTCCCTTATCCACCCACATATGGTTACATGCCCTGACTCCAAATGATGTATTAATAGTACAGTGTAACAGCAGCAGGCCCAAAGCATGAATTTTGCATCTGAAAATGTGAGATTCCCAAACTTCTCAGTGAAAGGTGTAAATAGGTATTTTGAATGCTTAAGAAGATTGACTATGTTGATTCTAAAAGTTGTTATATACTTATGAGTCAGAAATCTATTTTAGTTCCTTTAGGATTATGTTTATGACACTCTCTAAGCCTTACCTTTGAACTAAGGTACTTATACCTTATATAAGCACAAAAATAATACCTCTAATACCATTTAAAGCCTTCTAAAATGTTTATTGGTTTCCCTAATACTTAGTGAGTATATAAAATACTCAGTAGTGAAACGGAGTGATTTAAAGCTTTTTATAGCCCTCTAGAAGGAAAAAAAAAAAACAAAAAACTGGATGTAATTTGTTTGTTGCCTTTTCTCTTGTAAAAAGCATGTCTACACCTGAAACTTGCACTCCAAAAGAACTCATAGATATACTGTATGTAAATTATGGATTCACATTTACTGCCACATGCCATTTCTATACAGCACACTATACTGACACATAATTATAACCCTAAAGAAACCAGTTCCCAGGTTCCCATGTATGAGCAAAGCACTTGTGCCTTCAACAACACAGAAAAAGTAGAAGCAAAGTGTTCAATGTGATCACAGAGAGCATGACCAACTGAATGCATTGCATTCTTTTACTTCTTTTTTTCCCCCTAAATATATAAATAAATATATTGTAGCATATTCATGTAACTGGACATCAGAAACTTGCTCTAAGTATAACTTTTTCCTTCAACTCACACAACATATTTTGATTGATGCTATGTGGCTAAAGCCATAGCATTTGAAAACCTCCAATTTCAAATAGAGCTGAAGAATAACCTTTTCCTCATTGACATAAGTGAATCACTGATAGGTGTTACAGTTCAGCTTTTCCAAGTACAAGAGACACATGACAACAAATTACTGCATTTTGACTTAAATTTGTAAATTGGTCGAATGCAGAGCCTCAGAAAACTATTTGTTACTGTAAGAAACTTTATCACTTCACTTAGTTACTAACAATAAACCAAAACCATTATACACATCTACAAATAGATATTTAATCACGTATCTGTAGATAGATGCTATTTAATCTATCTTTTAGCAAACTCCATCATGGGGAGAAACAATATTTTTCTATTCTAATTAGACATTCTTTTATCTTCTGATCATCTTGCTCTTAAAATCTTTCAACAAAAAGCAAAGTTCTCCACCTGTGTTTGCATTATATTGTATTTGCCTTTCACAAAATCCATGTAGAAATAAACTTTAAAAAATTATATTCCAATATACGTATATATTACTGTATGTGCACTCTTATTTATATAAGAGAGTCCACACATTTCTTCAGGCATCTCAGGAATGCTGTACAAAACCCTGTGTGCAGTCTCAAGCACCAAGTCTACAAGAGAGGAAATCTGTGTTTGCTTTCATAATAGTAAATCAACTTAACATGAGGGACAGAACCAAACTCTTTCTAGTCACCTGCTAGTTACTTTCATATATTAAACACGCAGAAAATAAACCATCGTTAGCCACACAGTTTTATTTGCAGTCCCTCATTTCCAAACAGTAAATATAAACCAGCCACAGCACAAACATTCAAAGCCCTGTGAAGAGCAGAAGCTGTCCCAGACCATGTGCTCAGTGATCCATCAGCTTCCCCACAGAGCCTGACTTTGCCATTCCCTGCAGCTGGGAAGGTGCACAAGGTCCACAGCTTCATGTCACTTGATGAAGTCCTGCTCTCCTGAGGATGGCTGGACACCAGTGAGACAATAGAAAGTGGTGAATGAATTCACTGTTTTGATTTGCTTGTGTATCCATGGCTTTTGCTTTACCTATTAAACTGTATTCATCTCAAGCAGCAGGTTTTCTCACTTTTGCCCTTGTGATGTCCTTCCTGTGTGTCCCCAGCACAGGAAGGACATTGACCTGTTGAAACGAGTCCAGAGAATGGCCAAAAGAATGAATAGGGGGATGAAGATCCTCTCCTGTGAGGCAAGTCTCAGAGAATTGGGATTGCTCAGCCTGGAAAAGAGAAGGCTTCAGGGTGACCTAACTGCAGCCTTCCAGTATCTGAAGGGAGCCTACAAGAAAGATGGAGAGGGACTATTTACAAGAGCATGTAATGACAGGACAAAGGGAATAGCTTCAAACTGGAAAGACAGGAGGTTAACATTAGATATTAGGAAGAAATTTTTCACTGTGAGAGTGGTAAGGCACTGAAGAGATTGCCCAGAAAACCTTGAATGCCACATGCCTGGAAGTGTTCAAAACCAGGCCAGATGGGGCTCTGAGTAACCTGGTCTAGTGAAAGTGTCCCTGCCCATGGTAGGGGGGTTGGAACGAGATATTCTTTAAGGTTCCTTCCAACCCAAGCCACTGTGATTCTGTGATTCTCTCCCCCACCCCACTGTGGGGTGAGTGAGCAAGCAGCTGTGTGGGGCATCGTTTGTGTGGGCTGGCTGGGGTTAAACTGCAACAGATCTCACTCCATCCACAGGAGAGATTTGTTTTGGTGACTTTCACACCTGAGACCTGGACAGCATCAGGCACAGGCAACACTTGGGTTACTGCTGCTACAACTGTGCAGTACTTACAGTCCTCTGAGTCTGCTGTGCCTTCCTGTGCCCTCTGCTCAGCCCCTGCCCACCACACCCAACAGATCCTTCTCAAAAGTGACCTCATTTTGCTAACACAATCATTAACTAATGTTAAATTAATTTCAAATGGTATGATCTCTTGTCCTGTGATAAAATATAAGCTAAAGTGAACATTCATGTTTTGTTGAAATACATTCTAGAAAATTTCACAAGAATAAGTGAATGTGATTAGTCTAAGTCAACAATGGGGCAGTGTTCATATAGGCTGGACTAGGAGTAGTAAGGAGAGGTGTCTATTCAATGTAAATATGTAAATGTAAATTCTCGTGTCCTAAAGACACAGGAACTCCCCATCCAAGGTAATCAGTGAAGTCATCCACACTGGGTGAGGGTGTAGCAAAGGCAGTGCAAGATAGCAGCTATAAACAGGCTTGATTTTATTAGTAAGCTAGCTTTCAACAGAACTGTTTTCATGTACAGGAAGTATTTTAATAAGCAAGCATCATGGACTTAGCACTGTCTTCTTATGCTATTCATAACAGACACTTGGCACTTGTCACTAACATATTTACTATGATAATATCACAAATAAATTGACTAAAATAAAAAGCAAAAAAACCCCTACTAAGTCTAAAAATTACTCAAAATACAGGTCTTTTTTAATTCTCAGGATTTCACCTTCAATGCTTAATTGCCATGGGGAAAATCTAGTCTAATAAACACTGAATTCAGTGCTATGTTGAGGATCTAATTTGGTATGCAGCAGCAGCTGAGAGAAGGATTTCAGTGATAAGTGCTGCAGCACACAGACAGAATGGAGAATTCTGCAGCAGGAAGTCTGCCAAAGACTTCCACCTTTTTTTTTTTAATTCTAAGGTTTTGGTTTGTATCAGATTTGTAACTATTTAGAATGACTCTCATACTAAGAATAAAAAAAAGAGAAGATGGTATGTATTAATTTCCAGGAAGTTTTTAAACTGAAAATAAATTCAATTCCAAAATGTAGCCCAGGGAATCTCAATGAAAAACAGTAACAGTAAATGTGTTAAAAGATTTTGAAATTTATTTGCAAGTTTTCTATAGTCCTAAAATAAAAATAATGTACTTCCTAACTTTCTCACCCAGAGATAATGGGAATTTCAAGGAACAGCTGAGGAATGTTAATGATCAATAAAAGAGATTTACTTCAACAGTTCAAAGTTTGGGAGCAGTACCAAATACATCCCTTTCAGAGCTAACATTGTGTCAGTGACCTGGATTATTGAAATGTCATTTATGGCACCCCAGTTCTCTCACTCTTCATTTACAAGAGGTCTAGTGCCACATAAAATTGACATTTCAAACACTGTAGCAGCAGTGTATTTCCTAAGCAATTATACAATTCACTGATTTCCTCAAAGAAACAAAAATAATCACATGACACATGACAAAGATCCACACATTTTGGTGAGAAAGTATCTTTTTATCAAGTCTCTCGACAAGTGTTGGTACCTGAGCATCCTGTAAAGCATCTGTTCCTGCCCTTCTAATTCTATTAAGCAGAGGTGCTCCATGAGCATCCAAATAAACCCAAAAATCTCAAAGCAATACACCATTATACTTCCTAAATATACCTAGATAATTAGAAAAGCTGCTGCTGGCTATTAGATTAACTAGTCTTTATTACAGAAAACCATTCTGGTTCTGTCTTTCTCAATACTTCTCCTTTGACAAAAAAGGAGTGTAATTATTTTTGCCTTTCACTGCTGTTTATGCAGTTTAGTTATATATAGAGAGGGAGTTGATACAAACCAGTTGGTTTTACTCCATGCTTTGCATAATATTACATTTCAAGATTGGAAAAGAATGTGGATATTTCAAAATCCACAGATGTTTTATCAGTTTTTTTTAGTTTATATTTACTTTTAATGAGGATTTGTAAGACTGACATTATTTTTAGAGTAGGTGTAGTACCTACACATATTCTGCTCAATTTAACATTGAACCCTAAAGAAAACTGGTTCTGAGTCCAAATACAATATGACAATTCCACTGAACTTAAAAGGACTGTGAGAAATTTATTCAAAAAGAGAAATCATCAACTAGATTTTAACCAAATTTAAACTGTGAGTATTGCATTAATTATAGAAATTAATTTTGCCATGTCTAGCTGAATTTCAAATTACTAACTGCACTTCCAAATTCACTTTGGTATTGGTAATAATTATTCAGAAATCCTTAATCTACTGGAAAAATAACAATGTTATTTCTAAAGTGAAAAAAAATTAGTGTGAGAAATAAAGTAGATGATTCCTAATTGGATTATACCTTTTAGGGTCCTGTGAGAGTGGTATATAGGCAGGGTTTCAGTTCTGAACATGAGTGATCCTATTGATTCATATAGAAGCATTCATATTCTTAAGATTTAGTATATAATTCCATAACTTGCTGGAAGCTAAACAGTAGAGATCTTAAGTGAAGTGGAAAAACAGTATCCTCACTTCTAAGAAAGCAAACTAGGCAGATGCATATAATAAACTTGTTCTCTTTTATTTATGTACATGAATGTGGTGAAAACAAACCTTTAGAATCCAAATGGCCTCCTGAACACATTTCAGTTTTTATTTAGTTGTTATTTTTACTCACTGTAACAAATTTTCCAGGTATTTTAATTAAATATATATATAAAGTACTCAGATATATAGCTAATATAAATTTCAAATATATATATATATCAAATTTAGAAAAACAAGCGTCATATTAGAATAGGCCCAACTGGCTACAGAAAAAGAATTGAAATATTACATGTAACTCAAATAAATTCATCAGAGACCATCTCTTACTGAAGGGTAAGGAAAAGATCATATCCTAAATTGAAGATAGCTAGTGGAAAAATAGAAGCAGAGAGGCTAAAATGAAATAATTTCATTCCACAGCTGTGAGCTGCTTGTGACTCAGAGACTCTTTGCTGTTTCTAATATAATCCTTTTTGTGCCTCAAGCTCCAGCAGGTCCCTGAGCCTTCACACTGCACTCTCCACTTCCCCACACACGTATGTTCTGCAAGTGTTTGTACAGCAACACAATACCAGCATTAGCCCTATACAAAAACATCCAAGTAGAAAAGTGTTTAAATCTTGTGCTGTGTTAAATTAAATGTAATACAAGTAAATGTATCAGTTAATAAAAAGTCTCTGTAATAACTGTTAATCATTGGGCATTAAGATAACATTTATCATAATAATATTCATTACAATGAATAAGCTGATTTGTTAATAATGCATATGTCACATGCACTTCAACGGGATTCCTTTAGTCACCAACACCACAGCCGTTATTTTTAAGTGCTTCCAAAAACATTAATGTGCAATGTTAATCTGAAATCCATACCTCTGTTATTTTCACAAAGCAACCGGCAAGGTTTGTTTAGGAAATTTCATGCCAAGCTTCAGAAGTGTGCTCTCTAACCTTCTTCAACACATAATTCAAGATAAACACTTTCTTCATGACAGACGTTTCAGGAGATGAAGGAGTGGAACAAAGGCAGAGAGTGACACGAAGCACAAGTTCTGCACCATTAAGATGAATGGACAGATTAGCTGGAAAATCCATAATGACACATTGTGCTGGCTGAAGCAGTTCTGTTTATGTAATTACAGCTTTGTTGCTTAAGCAAAAGGAAGCTCTGAACAAGGCCTTTACCTTAGTAGCCCTGCCCCAGCACCTCACCAGTGCTTCAGCATCCCCATCCATCAGTGCCAGCCACTGCAATTCACCTGACATCTCATTAAAGGTTTTAAAGCGTCACCTACCACACGACTAATGGTTTACTAGCCCAACCATTATGGGCTAAATACAATCTTTATGCAAAATATGCCAAGCAACTTCAGGTATATTGCCAGCAAGAGCAAAATAAGTCTAGCAAGGTACTCCCATGCAGCACAGCTGACCCACATCTCTTAATATCCACAGATTGCAAGACAATGTCTTCTGCCTGCCTTTAAAAAGACCTCTATCTAAAATGCAAAACCTGGAAGCATAAACCTTTGTGTGCTGCACTCTAAAAAGAAATATAGAAGCAACTTTGCATACAAGAAGGCCTACTGCAGTCCAGCCTGCCTTCTCAGTATGTTTGCAGCAATACTGAAGACCACAATGCATATCTGTCCCTAGCCTAAGGGTTTCCTCTGTTTCTATTTCAAAGTCACAATTTCCTTACAGCAAAACTTGGATTAATTCATAATGAAAGGTAATATGTGCACAATATGTGCTGAAAATTATAAGCATGCTGGAGAAAATGCTTTAAAGCAACATATATTGACCCTCTTATTTGTGCAGTTGAATGTGGTGATAAGTTTGCCCCTCCTAGTCCTGACCTTCATGAATCTATAGAAAATGAGGATCAGATCCAAAATATTCCAAACAGTAACACTAATTGAAATTGCAGTAATCATATGGTGCATTTCAAGTCTGCCTTTAAGAAAGCATTCCAGAGGCACAGCAAAACTTCTGAACTATGCAGTCACAGTTTGTGGAGATTATATTGTTGTAAGAATATTGGGTGAGGAAGAGACAGCGATTGCAGACACTCATGCCCAGGTTGGCATAAAAACTACTTAAGAGGTAAGGGGGCACACAGTACTTCAGGATATGGTTCCATGAGTAATTCTTTTGCACAACATGAGAAATCCAATACTCAGTCAATATCAATATCCAATATCACAAATCAGAATATAACTAACTAAAGATTTTCACATTTTAAATCTCCAGCACAAGTTTTCCTGAACTCCCATACAGATTAAGCAGCACCAAAGCTCACCAAGTGCTTCCCTTTGGGTTAGGATGCTGCAGGTGCACAAAAGTCAGCCTTTGTGTAAACTACAACTTCTTTGGTCCAAGGTTTGCAGTGCTTCAGTTGCTCTTGAGCCCTGGCCAGCCTGGACACTAGGCAGAACAGCACCCCAATCACCCTTAGGGTAGCTGTGCTCTGTACATAACTAAGCTGTCCCAAAAAAATTAGGTTTCTCTCAAAATGCAGGCATAGCAGCTTTCTTGTCAAAGCATAGATGTCCCAGAAAAGTAGTACGGCTTCCAGATCCTTGCCAAGCTTCCCCTGAAAGCCCAGTTTAGCAGGAAGCAGAAGACCTAGATCCAGTTTGCTTCTCAGCTGGAGAAGGTCCCAAATGCAACTTCTGTTTTCTGACCTACTTGAAGTCAGAGAGTTTGAGAGCTCGGGTATCACAAGGTAAAAAGCAAGCAAAAAATGGTACCTCACTCTGGCTGACTGGTGAGGGAAGATCTCAGTCCTGATGCCTAACCTCAAGACTACTTTATTTTTACTTTTTCTTAGGAAGTTCAAAAACTGTCATAGTCATATAACAGGCTTTTAGTTTTCTTTCTTTAAAAAAAAAAATTGTAACACAGATTTAAAATCTTGTATCATACATCTTTTGAACATTTGTTAGGATTTTGAGCAGGGAAACTTTGGTTGCTATAAAATCTCAACAGTCAAAGAAGGTGATAAATATAGCTTGCAATGTGATTATACTGAAACAGTTTGTTCCAGTCATACAAGACTCTTGACTTGACATTCCAATTAAAAAAAGAAGCAACAGAAAAAAATATTTCAGATACATACTTCGGTATTGAAGTCAAGGAAGTATGAAATTTTCTTTTTCTAAGATGAAATAACTGGAACAACTGACATTTTAGCTACAGCAGTTACTTGTACTTTCTATAATTTCCCTTTATTTCTAGATTGGAGAAAAACTTCCCAAATGCATGAAAGCAAACTCTTTGTCATTTCAACGACTATATAGTTCCTTATCTTCATCATTCACTTCACAGGATTTACTGTTGTCATAAAAGATCGTGATCTCTCACCAAGAAAAAATACTAATTCCTGAGGAGATATTGATAAAGCTTAGGTTTATGCATATAAATACCAAATATAAATACCAAATGACTTTTCACAGCAAAATTTTCTGTAACACTCTGAATGTTTTTTTTCCAACAGGAAAATTTCTTTCACTTTTTTTGTCAGGCTCTTGAGAAACAGATATTTGGCCTTGTGAACAGTGGGCTGTGCAGTCCAGACTCTGACCAGATCATCTGGACAGCTTAACACAGCAGGCTGCTTTCTCACCATCAAAGTGCATCCCCTGAAAGAGCTATCGATCCTCTGGGACTAGCCCGGAGCACCAGTTGCTCTCCTGGTGTCAAATCCTGCAAAGGAAGGAATGCATTCCTGCTAAGGGGAGCCTGCCAGCGCTGAGTTAGCATTTGCACCAGGAATAAAGCAGCTGGGGAAGGGAATCAGTCTTTCAAGAATAAAGACAAGTTGGCTAAGAGTGCTCCCAGTAAAGGACTGGCACAGATGAAAAAATCCTCTCCTTATGCATAGCAAAAGAAATTACATATTAAAATGTCCATGTGAAATACAGATAAACTAAAATACTGGGGGCAGTATTGCTTTTAGTAGCTTGACTAAATTATTTTGCTCTATTAACAATCAAAACTCAGTTAAAAAGCAAAAAGTAGGCATCAACTACTTAAAATCCATCTATTATTACAAATGTTGAGTTCTCTGACCCCGTTTTGGTTGCTGCCAGGTAGGCCAGGCCAGAAACAACATACGATTTCCTTTTCCCAGTTGAAAGGCATCTGAGTTAAGAGTCTGTAAAAAGTGCAGCAGGAAGAATCTCATGCTTGACTGTCTCAAACTTTAGGATGCAGTTTAAATTTGCTGCAGTTAAAAAAAAGGGGGAAAAAAAATGTGGCTGTAAGGCATAAATTCAGTATTCAGTGAATCTGGCCAAGCACACAGCAGTGCCAGGTTCTGTCGTGACAGCTCTCCAGTTCAGTTCCCAGGCTGCTGGTGCAGCAGACTGAGGAAGAGGCCGGCTCGTTAAACTTTCCATGGGGTTATGAACAATCTGCTCTCCAAATCACACAAACGGTGCCGTCAGTTCAGTTCTCGGTGTATTTATTTGCTTTCGTTAGGGGAGTCTCCTGTATAGCACTGCTGAAAGAACTCAGTAGCAAGAAAAAAAGCAATGATAGGGCTAATTCTCCTTAGTTTTTTCATTATACCATTTGAGAGTGGACATAAAAGACAGCTATCCCTTTTTATATCATTTTGTTCTGGTGTAAATGAATGCAAGTGTTTTAGATTAAAAATACAAGGCTTTTGAAGACACTATAAATATTCTTCTAAGGCATATGATGCTGAGCATTTACTTCCATTCCAGCCCATCCCCACAAATCTAATATTCCCATTCAAGAAGATCAAAGGTGATTAAAAGTCTTGAACCAGTTGTTTTCATCATCCTTTGTCTCAATAAACAACTGTAGCCCCAGCAGCATCTATGTTCATTTCTGCTTCTGAGATGCCCATTACTTGCTAAATGGAGTTACAGAATAACTTTTTCTTTCTACCACCTACCTGATACCGCTGGACCATGTGCAGTTGGACTTTGTGTTCTATCTTTCACAGTAACCCCCCTAAAGAACCAAATTGAGAGAAGGCTATTAAGGACATGTGTTTTAACCATTTACTGTAGCTACTACTGACCTCTTTACCTTGGCTTTCTTTATTACCAGAGGCATAGTACCACCAAATGCTGGAAAAATCAATCAGAAGAGTGACAGCAGGTAGACAGTGCCATCAAACACCTGCTCATACTGTACCATAGAAAACAGCTTAGTGTAAATCACCTTTTGGACATGTTTAAAATTTACTTTTCTACATAAACTATCCTCTACATGTCTGGATGAGGCCCTCCAAAATGCCTTAAAAATCTAATAAGGAGCCAGGAATTCTTGTGGTTTCATTCCAGTTCTGCTACTGACTTGTTGTGTGGTCTTGGAAAAGGCTCTTTTCCTTTCTCTGGCTTTTATTTCTTGCATGTGGTGATATTAATATGCAGTAGAAACTGAGGCTATATCATATGTGAAGCTGAGAAAACAAGTTGACATACACAGCAAAAAAAAAAACACCAAACCCTAAACTATATTCATGCTCCTAAATGCCATTTTAAGCACTGAGATTATTGATTTTTGGCAGATGAAAACATTATTGTGAAAAACACAGTACACAAGTCCAAACCCTATAGTACTATATATATATTATTCATCTCTGCATGCTTTTATACCTGGTGGTGTCTTGACACACATTTTCTTGTCTTTCCCATCCAGAAGTGCACACCTCTACAATCGACTTGGAGTAGGTGATGCACTGGGTGATGGTGGATGGTTTTCGTTCATGGCATCTTTTCCATATGCCACTATTGATCTTAGTTCCCAATGCCTAGCCCATTCCCCTGAGTACTCTGAATAAGGAATTGCAGGATGTGTTTCATTATCATTTGCTCAACAAACTAAAGGAGTTACCCCCGGAGGCAGCAAGGAATCTCCGGCCTTATGAAGACAAGGTTGCAGCATTCACATGGAAAACACTAGTGTGGCAACTCTAACTCCCGAGTTCTGCATTTTACTCTAGACAGTACTAATTTAAAATATTAGTCCAAGTCCTACATCAGGTTTTCAATATTTGCAAAACTCAGTACAGCATACTGACATTATGTCTAAGTTTCCCACTGTCAACTATGAAAAAACATTATGTGTTCTGGAGAGCCAGTACAGTAAATTACTTAAGATTTAAGGACAAGAAACACCATCTACATGCAAGGTACCAATAATTTATGAGATTGCTTTAAAGAGCATAAGTGATGCATTACAAGACCAAGGCCAAGCAGAATGGCTTCTGAACCTCACTGAAGCCTGCCAGATGCTGCTGAGCAAAGGGCTCTGGGGTCCTCTCTGAAAGACAGTTCCTGTCCAAATGAGAGGAGCCTTGCAGACCTTCTCCTGGGGAAAAAGCATTCTGCCATACTGTCAAATTATTAGTTTTCAAAAAATTTCCCACTTTGTTCCGGGGATGAAATGGAAGTATTTAAAGGGGAAAAAATGAAAACCAGCCTCAAACTGTTGAGTAGCTGCACAGCTGGACACTGTGGTACCAGTCCCAGATGTAACTACAGCCAAAGGGGCTCTTGAATGCTCAGTTCTCCACTATGCAACATAAAACTTTCCAACTGAGGATTTCGTTTTAGGTTAGTTAAATTAGTTCTTTTACAACAAAAATTTTGTACTGGATCCATGAGAACACCTGAAGCATTAGATGGAAGTCCCCCACCGGATCTATCAAATAAGAGATTCAGGCAGGAAGCAAAGCAGAGAGTCATCACAGCATTTAGATACTTCTTATACAATAAGAAAGTTATTTCCTAGGTACTCCACTAGAGCAAAATTGGCACACAGGGTTTGATTTAAAGCATGTCTATTGTGCTGTGAGGAGCCTTTAACCTGAAATGGTCAGAGATAGTCTCACAGCTTATTAGAATACACCCCAATAGGAGCCGAGGAAAAAAGGTTGACTTTTTTTCTTCCCATTGAAAAATCTTTCATGCATAGTTAACTAGATATTTTTATAGGAATTGTGAAAAAGAATTATATCTGATATGTCATAGTTTACCTTAAAGCCCATGAAGCCTAGAACAGAAGTGTAACAATTTTTTAAGGTAGCAAGTATGATGAACAGCATTTCACACTGGCACTACTGGAGAGAACAATTTTATTCTGTCTAAAAAACCTCCTTTAGTTCCCAGGAAAGCCAGCTGGGCAAAGGGACTAATTTTATTATAATTTCCTAATGAATAATAGCATTCACACCTATTTTTTTGAGAAAATATTAAAAGGAAGGATTTCATTACTGCTTAGAGGATTTTGCAGCCATTAGAAACCTCTGCATTAAAGAAACTATGAGGGAAAATGCTGTCCAATGATTTTAGGGAAATTTGTCACCAAACATAAGTAATATGCCCAAGAGAGTTCACAATATCTCTAACAATTAGTTTTCAAGTAGTTTTAGTATTAATAAAATAACTTCATGCATTTAAATATACAGATTTAAATTTTTCCAGAGTTGGGGTATGTGAATTTGGTCTGCTTCTTCTGCAGCTAAAACATCTGTTTGGGAAAGACACAGCAACCTAACACCTGCTGCTCAAAGCAATGCTCTGGAATTTCCTTAGTTCTCTCATTCCTTGTTGCAGAGCTGGAACAGCAGAGAGTACATTTGATTTTGCCTGAGAGGAAAAGACTATAAGGTTCCAGCCCTTTGTATCTTACAAGTACTCTTCAAACAGCAGCCTCTTCTCTAAACTCATCTGCAAGAAAAGTAGCTAAAAATATCACCCTGCACTGGATGCAGACACTGTGTGACTTGCTTCAAGGTCTTAGAGGATGAAAAACAGTAGTAAAATTGAAGCTGCACCTTCAGCAGGCCTCTCATGACAAAGGAGGTGGTTGTGGCTAACACAAAGAGTAAAATAGGATCTGAGGAATGCTTCATTTATTGCCAAAATTAGTGGCATGCATGTATGTCATGAAGAGCCTGTATTGCTTTGAGATTTCATGCTGCTAGAAAGTAGGAAGAACAAGAAAGTTTACTTGTAAAACTATGTATGTATGCCTGCATGCCTCTACTTTTCAAATGTCACATCATTGTCTACTGCATTATTCAAAGGAACAGAAGAACAATGCATTCGATTTGGAGGTGGTTTTGTTTGGGGATTTTTTTTTTCCTTTTAAACAGAAAAATATGCCTTCTATTAACAAAAGGATATAAAAGAGAGATATCCATTTAAATTATAAAGGGATATCTGTGATTACTGTGCAAGTAACAGTCTAAACACATTATTTCTCACATTTAATTTCTGTGCTCAGAAAAGGAGCTGTGATGTACAGCAAATGCAACACAGTCACTTTACTCCCTATGAATGCACGAGGACTCGAAGGCTGAAGCTTGATGACACCTTGTAGAGGCTGTAAAACGTGATAAAAGTTAATAAAGCCAGGTCTCTGACAAGGCCATTTTATTATGAGCAAGTGCTTTAGATAAAAATGGCTCATTTCACCCTCCTTGAAAGTCTACATTGCAACCGAGCTTTTCCAGCATTAAATCTCTGTCTGGAGACACTCCCTGGGATAACTTTTCTCTTTCTGAAATGGCACCGAGAGGGAGATGCTGACTTCTCCTGCAGAACTGACCTAACCCCATGGACGTGCCACCCTCCCGTGCTCACCCCCCACTTGGTTCTGAGGTTTCTGCACGCTGGCTACCGGCGCTCCTTTCCCCCTGGCTTCCCAAAAGGACAAAGCTAAGTTTCATAAACAGCAAAGTGTGCTAATTCAAACAAAACACAGGACAGCAGTTCTTTCTAGGCAGTAAAGTCCTGTCTGCATATTTTAGCCCTTGCATAATTGTTACCTTTAGGTCATAAACTTCAAGGTCAATTCGAGGTCAAGAGTAGGTGTTTAGCACATGAAACTCAGAAATGCTGCTAAAAGCATGCTTTATAAATTACTGTATTTTCTTTTCATTCAGGGTTTTTTTGTGTCTAGCTTTTTCTTACTATCTGATAGGTTTTCATCTGCCTTCATAAAATATACATTTACACAGTGCTTTCAAGCTAAAAGTATAATTTATATACCTGAAATGCAGACTAATATATTGCTATACTCCAAATCTGGCTATTTCCCCTCTAACATGCACATCACATGTCACAAGTTTGTTTGCTGAAGAGCAGAACCCAGCCACTGAAACAAGGCACTATTAATGCAGAGCTGGTATCAAGCATCTGAAGGAATTTATGCAAGTTAGAGAACTTCTGATACATAAATTATTAAAAACTGTTCTCCCATATTTAAAGCCATGTTGAAGTTTACACTCAATTCAATTAAATTCAGTTGAATTTGTATTGGTCTCACTCACTTCTAGAAGTATCTGCTATGTTTTCATTTTTTAAGTAATTAATTTTTACTTTGCTTAGGAAAGTATAAGTACACTTATAATGTTAAGCATTATACAAAGATAGTTAGAAGAATAACAGTGCAAAGGGGTTCCCAAACTAAATAATTATTTAAATCTTCACTGACCTGAGCCTTCACACAATGGTAGTTCAGCATGGTTACTGGTTCTGTGCACCCCCTCCCGCTCCTATGCACTTGATAGGCATCATACAGTTAAAAAATGTCACTGATGTCCTTTGTTTACATTGTAAAGGATGCTTCACACCCAGGCAATAAAAGATTGTGACAGTAGCTTTTGCATCACTCAACAACAGAATCCAGCATTTATAATGTGACTCAGGAGCGCACAGGAAGAGGGGAAAAGTCATTTACTTAGAGCTCTTCAATTCTTTGTGCTATAATGAGAGTATATCAGAATTTATGGCTGCATAGCACATATTTTTTCCCAGGAGGAAAGCCTTTCATGACCTGCTCATTTCTGTGGCAATCAGGAATTACAAGATCTAAGTCTAGTCATAGATGTGATGTCCTGCTGAAAGGAGTTTGATAGCTTTTTGATTAAAAATAGTTCAATGTTCTGCTGTGTTTTCAAAACAGATCAAAATGCTAAACCAACAGAATTTTTAAAA